ACAAACATGTAAGACCACTATGGTAGATGGAAAAGTGGTCACAATTATTCATGTTTTTGTTTTATAGCTACGCCTTTTGTAGAATGACTTTGCAGGTCTTTTCTTTAAAAATGGGGACTTTTCTCTTACTCTTTTAATCTAAGCTGATCTCATGACTTGCTTTGGTCGATAGAATGAGGCAGAAGTGATGCTATATTACCTTCTAGCTTCAGACTCAAGAGGGAAGTGCCTCTTGCATCCTTCGGCTCACTTTATGTCCCCTGCAACCTCCATATGAATAACCAGACTAGCACCTTGGAAGACGAGAGACCAAATGGAGCAAAGCCTGTCAGCTGATTCGTCTCAGCTAAGGCTCAAGACATGTGCAAGAAAATATACAAGTTCAACAAAGCCAAACCTCATCAGATCTCCCAGCTAGCTAGCCCCCAGCTGACTGCAGCAGGCCACCGTAAACTTGCCAGGCCCACCGGACTCAGTGACTCATGAGCTAAATAAATGTTTATTGTTTTAAACAAACAACCCCCTCCCCCCCCAAAAAAGTGACATATGGCCTCTTACAAGAAAAATCTCAGAACAGAAAGTATTTAAATTCTCTTCATTTCCAGATTTTCTACTCTTTCCAGAAGAATAAGAATCTTCTCTTTCCCCTTACTGGATAAGGTGATTCAGTTATTCACTCAATGGATTGTGTGTGCGTGCGTGTGTGTGTGTGAGGCACTTTGATGGGCCTAGTGGGGGCACATGGTGCAGGGCATAAAAAAAAAAAACCAGAACTGATTTATAGTCTGGTTTGGGCAGAAAGGAAATAAACCTGGCCAAACAAGATACCAAATACATTTGAATTCAGACATGGGATCACTGTACAGCTGTGTGACCTTTGGATAGTTACTTAACCTTTCTGAGTTTTAGTTTCCTTATCTCACAAACAGGAATAATACCTGGCTCTCATGATGGGGCAGGGGAGGGCTAAAACATTTGCAAAGCACTGTGCAGGTAACTTCTCATCTCCTGAGTGCTCAGTCACATTTCATCATGTCAGCATCTCCCCCAGGAAGCGGGGAGTCTTCCTGAATTTGAGAGGTGTCTTTGCTTTCAACATTTTCTCACAGAAGAATCAATGTGGGACCAGCCCAGGCAGGAATTTGGCATCTTCCCAGCAGCCTGAGAGACTTGTCTTTTGGGGCACTAAGTAGGGAAGGGCAGGCAGAGATCATTCTGCTAATCAAGCCTGATGTGAAGTGGTGATCTCTCCACGCCCCCAGGGCTACAAGCCAAGTCTGGGTGACTCCCATTTGGTTCTTAGCCTTGCCTGGGGGACTGAGCTACAGGGAAGGCCTCTGACCTGGGACCTGGCATCCTGAGGTTCTGCCTGCGTGGGGAGCGAGGTCCTGAAGTGGGAAGCAAGGGGTAGCAGATGAATGACTGAATGATGGGGTAGGGGATAAGCCATGAATGATCCTCAAACCCAGTCTTCTTTCCTCCCCTCTCAGAACCTCCTGACCTCGACCGAAGCATGCGTAAACTAGGAAGAGCACAGTGGAAGCTTGGGTCACCTCCCATCTTACATTTCAGCTGGGAACTTGGCATCCAGCTCAGGCCATAGACAAGGGGACCAGCGCAGAGGGCCGAGAGCAGCCAGCCTGGCTGCAGAACCCAACTAGGTCAGTCACTATTCTGCCTCTATGCCTCAGTTTCTCCTTATCACTAGGGTAGTCTGTGAGAGCGGGAACTGGGAAACTAGACTCTGCAGTTGGCAGAAGTCCTTGAAGCGGGGGCGGCAATGACGTGAACATATATCCTGGTCCCTCTGAGGGCCTTAAGGAAAGGACTCACCCCATACAAATATCTTGGGCAGGACTAGCTTGACCTAAGCTGAGACCCTATTAGCGAATCAAGTCTCTGTGTAGGGCAGATGCTTGAGAAATATCTGTGGGCTGATGCCCAGATCCCTATTACCGTCTGGGGGCGGGTGGGGAGACAGGTACCTCTGCACTGTTTGTGGCTGTGAACTTGAATGTCTTGAGCGAGAGCTGAAGGCAAGCAGGTGAGTGAGAAGGGCCGAGGATGATCCGACCAGCAGCCAGAGGGCTAAACCTGGAAATCGGTCGGCCCTTTGGGGTTGACAACACTACCTGGGAGAGGGGAAGATGGGGAGAGAAGACAGTCACGGGGGGCTGGGAGCACGGCATAGGGAATGTAGTTAGCAGTCATGCACTGGCTACGTGTAGAGCCAGATGAGTGACAGAGTAAGCGGGGGATCATTTCATAAACTATATAAATGTCTAACCAATGTACTGTATACTTAATAAAAATAAATACAAGACAGACATAGTGGATGGAGAAAAGGGGACAAATAGAGACGGAGTTGAGACAAAAATGGGATTAGGAGAAAGAGAAAGAGAAAGATAGAAGGCTAAGAGGCAGAGCATCAGCGAGTCTATGAGAATAAACTAGAAATGAGATAGCACATATTATGAGACATCTTCAGAGATGACAAGAAAGAACGCTCTGCTCTGGGTTAAAAATCTATCTTCCTCTCTGTCTCAAGCTGTAGGTTTTGAAGGCAGGTGCTAGTTTGTCATCTTTACATCCCCTGCACTTAGCATAGTGCAGACTGATGGGCACTATGTTTGTTGAACAACTCAAGAAAATATGAAGAAAAGGCAGGATTTTTAAGATGGAAGAGCAGAGAGACACAGCATGGCCAGGAGCTTAGAATCACCGAGATGTGCTTTTGAACCCCAGTCCTGCCATTTCCTAACTGCATGACTCTGAGTCTTAGCCTCTGAGTCGCGCATTTACCATATAAAGTTGTGAGGAGGAATGTCTGCGAAGCTCTTGACAGACCGCCTGTGTAAGTTCCCAATGGCGTCAGCTACCGTTATTACCGTTGTCCCAGACAAATAAGGGGGATAGTGACGGTGATAAACGGATTGCATGAATAGCCTCCAATTAATGACTCTGCCCTGTAACTCTCCAGCGCTTTTCAACTCCAAACTCCAGGTCTGGCCATGTGACTTGCTTGCTTTGGCTGATGGGAAACTTGATGCAAACAGAGGTGCAGAGGTGTGAAAACGATGGCCCGTTTCTGACTCCCTCCTTGGAATTCTGCCACTGCCGGCGAGCCTGCTGGAGGGATGCAGATGTGGAGAACAGCCAAGGTGTCTCACCTGAGGCCGCGCTGTAGGTTAGTCTTCCCTCAACTATCACCCTGCCAACTACTGCAGGTGTGTAAGCAAGCCTGAGAAAGATCCACCGGGTCCAGCCCGGATCTGTAAAACCATTTTGCCAACCTGAGGCTTAAGTGAAACGAGCGATTCTCGTTTGAAGCCACTAGTCTGGAGAGCTTATTACGAGGCAATAGCTGGCTGACATGGGGACATGGTGGTCCTTGTCCTTCAAGACTGAAAGGCAAATGAAAGAGAAAGTCATGGTCTGCCAGGTTTTATTTGTAGTTTAGTGAACTCAAACCAGAGAAAGCTGCAAAAAGTGGTTTGGAGCGTCATAGGGAAGGGATGCCAGAAGCAGGTCCCTTCGCCAGAACCCGAGGGAGCCCTCCAGGTGAAGGACAGAAGACACCAGAGGTGGGAGGTGGCCGGGGGCAAGTCCAGGCAGGTGGCGGCAGGGCTGTCACTGGGAGAGCTGAGGCCCGAGGGGAAGGTCTCAGGCCCTGGGATCATACACCCGCCCCATGAAGACAGGGAACTTGTGCTGCTGGTCCCAGAGCAGGAAGAGGAAGGGCTGCTGCACTTCAAAGACCAACAGAGTACGGGCCACAGAGATGGCTGAGGCCGCCGCCGCCTCCACCCCTGTCTCCGTCAGCTCCAGCACGGTCTGGTGCTTCATCGCAGACACCTGAAGATCTTGGTCCTCTGTCAGCCCGCACAGGTTGAGGTCGTAAGAAAAGTCAAAGAATTCTAGGGCATGACCAGAGAAAAACAATGAGTCAAAGGCTGGCACAAAACCCTCAGCTCCTGAATTTTCTGGGTCGGTCCCCAGTCCCAGTACTCTCTTCTTCCTCCCCCTTGCTTATCAAAAAAAAAAAAAATAGATCACGCCTTCTGGTCCAGTTCATGGGATGCTCTGTCAGTGGGCCCATCGTCATCCTAACCACCACTTTCTCTCAACTGGGGAGAGGCCTTGCCTCCACCTGCCCCCCGCAAAATCCTGAAAAATAATGTCACTGCTTCCTTGTCAACCAAACACGTGGAAGTGAGGTATTATATCAGAAAGAGGACCCGTGTTACCAAATGAGGTCACATGCAAAGGTGTGATGTCATATACTAGGAAACAAGATCATCTATTAGGAGGTCAAGTTCTTTAACAGAAAATGAAGTGATATATCTGGACATGAAATCAAAGATCAGGAAGCGAGGCCAAAGGTTAGGGAATGGAGTTTCTGTAGCCTCTCCTAAATTCAGAAGCCTCGAGACCCTCTTGTCCAGATTACTTCTTGCATATTGCGTGGGGTGGTTGAGTGTCATGAAACGTCTGCGGGGGCAGCAGCATCCAAGGCTCACCTTAGTCACCTGTCCCAGTGTCTCCATCACAATGATCCACAGTGGAAACAGTTGAGAGACCTGGAGATCTGGACTGGGGTTCGGGCTCACTTCTAACTTAGCTCAAAGGACCTTGGTTAAGTCGTGTAAACTTTCTGAGTCATTTCCTTAATGATCTAATGGGATAAAAGCACCTGCCCCTCTAACTCATAGGATTGAGGGACAACCTGAAATTATAAAAGTTAAAAACACTCAGAGTGCTAACTGCATTTTAGGGACCCCCCCACCCTTTTCTCCTCTGATGATCTGGGAGCAACCCCGAGCTGCCGGGGCTCACCCAGTTTCTCCATGACTGCCAACATGTCCTGGTTGGTCTTCACTTTGATGCGGGGCATCATCAGAAGAGTGGGCTGGAACTTGGCCATCTCCAGCTTCCTCATGATGGCCTTGAAGACTTGTGGGCTGAGAGCCTCTTCCATGTCTTCGAGACGGTGTTTTACACTCTGGGGCACCAAGATCACCAAGCTCAGGTTGTTGGAGAGCTGCAGCTGCCCCACCTGGAGAACAAGAAGTGAACCTTATCAGTCTTCCTATCTGCTGGGTCCCAAGGCTGATCTTCAGCCCGCTGCTGGAGTCTGTACGACTTCAACAAGCAGCAGACAGACCTAGGCTCCCAGGCTTTGCCACGAAACGGGGATGCCAGCTCGGGGAACAGTGCTGGTCTGACTCTGCGCTGGTGATTTGCAGAAGGATGAACACACGTTTCTGATCATGCGGGCCAAGGATCACACCCCGACTCTGCTACTGACGAGCTATGTAATACAGGCAAGTGACGTGATGTCTCCGAGTCCTGTTCCTTCCCTCTCAAGTGTGTTATGCATAAAAAATATAACGTGCATAAGATATCACCAGTTACCAGGTCAGTCCTTTTAAAGACGTATGGCTCCTTGCTGCCTATGAGATTAAGTATAAATATAAATCTCTTAGTGTGGCATTCAAGATTGTGTACAAGCTGATTCCAGCTTACTTTTCCAGTTGGCTGTTAGAAGGACTTTCACTGACGGCCAGACAAAAGTGAGAACTGCAGGACCCGTGGGTCTAATATAGGGGTTCTCAACCAAGGGTGAATTTGGCCCCCAAGGGTGGATATTTGGCAGTATCTGGAGACATTTCGGTTGTCACATTTGGGACAGGAGAGGGGGCTCACGGTGCTACTGGTGGGTAGAAGTCAGGGATGATGCTAAATCCTACAATGCCCAGGACAGCACCCCATGACAAAGTATTATCAAACTCGAAATGTCAACAGTGCCAAGGCTGAGAAACCTTAGACAATATAGGGTGTGCTCATCTGGGCAGTCTGCATTCTTCAAGCCCTGCATATGGACCTTTAATCTCTAGCAAGGGAGTACCATATATGGTCTTGAATTTCTAAGGCAGTAACCTCAGCATCCCTGAATTGATAAATCTAATCCCCTTAGTTGGGTAAATACTCAAGTCCCAGGAAGACTTAGAATTAAGTATAAGGACAAAGTGAACCAACTCTGTAATATTAACACCAGATGATAAATTCAGGATAATCTGTGTTTATTATTTAAAATAGTGTTTATAGTTTTAAAGAGACTCAGACATGCTAGTTTTATGCTTTTAAGCGAAAAGGTGTAGCATAATTTCACTAACTTTGAGGATGGCGTTGAGATGTTGAATGAAAGTCGATTTATTCTTTAATTTTCAGTTTACAATTAGGCTTTAGGTGCTAGGAAGATATAGCGAAGCAGGATTGTAATTCTGCCCCGTCAGGTATATGACATACTTAAAAAAATCAAGTATATTAAATTTGTAAAGTATACATATAAACGCGAAATGCTTTGGGGAATATTAATTAACCATATTTGTAAATGAAACAAATGGTTTCAAGTTTAATCTGTTCAAAGCAGCTTAGAGAATAAACAAAATTGTGTTTATATAAAATTATAAATAATGTAATAAATTTGCTTAAAATTAAAAAGCTTAAGTAAGATTTTGATTTTGAACTTATAACATTAAAACATTAAATCAACGATCCATTTAAAATCCAAGGAACTGTTTTTTGGGCTCCTTTGGCACCAAAAAGACTTCACGCTGATACCCTCCCCCCATATACAACGAGTTAGAGCGATGGCTGGACCGTGCCATATATATTCACTTTCCTCTGCCTTATACATATGCTATTCTGGTTTTGTTAAATAGTTATGAATGGTCAAATTCATTGAATAGGGCTGGATGACTGGGTGGAAATGTGCATGAAAGGGCAAAAGTAACTTCCTTCATGAAGTCTTTCCAGCCACTCATGTTAGCACCCTTCACTGAATTCATTCATTTATTCAGCAAACCTATAATGAGCACTTCTTATATGTGGCATTGTCTAGGCACTGGGGACAATGTGGTATAAACAAGACAGGTAAGGTCTCTCTGTTCCCAAGCAGAGAGATAATATCTCAGAGAGACAGAGAATATTGTAATCAAATAAGCAAATAACATCATTTCAGATAGCAATAAATACCACAAACACAACAAAATGGGGTGATGTTACAAGGTGAGGAGGGGGTTACTTTAAGGAGGGGGAAGTCCCCTCCACCAAAGTGACCTCTGAGCTGACACCTGGAAGAACAGAAGTAACAAGTTATGTGAAAACCTGAGCGAAGAACGCTGTGGGCAGAGGGGAAGCTAAGGACACCTCCCAAAGTGGACACAAACCTGGCATGTCAGCCTGGAACTAAGTCCCTGGGTGTCTCCCATTGTTTCCTATCTCATTGGTCTGTGTCTTGCTGACCTAACGAGGCAGAAATATCTGACGTAAGACAGTTTACTAACTAGAATCCTCTGGGCTCCCGATTCTGTCTTCCCTCCCCACCCGCCCACTGAAATTAGACGGTTCAATTTCTGCTAAGAAACGTAAGCCATTTAAGACATGCACACACACATGCTTACCACGTGCTGGCACACACAGATATACCTATACGCGTGTACACAAACATATGCATGCTGCACAGGCGTGCACACATCAGATGCGCTGCATAGAAACGTGACTCACTTTTTGCTACTCAGTGCAGTAGAGATGAATGAAGAAACTTTAGAATCCTGCTTTCCAGCCTAACATAAACAATGCCTGCCTCGGCCAAGGCTGGAGAGGGGGGAAGGGAAAAAGACAGGGTGGAAATACAGAGGGAAGGAAGAGAAATGATGAATTAGTAAGGGTACACCCTAAACTGATGGAACCACAGCAGAAACGAAATCAGGACACACAAGAGGCTCTGAAACAGGAGTGGGAAGAGCCCAGAACCTACCTTGGCTTTCAGAGTCGGGTCAGTGAAATGGGCCACCGGGTACTTTTTGCTAATCATCATGGGCACTTTTATCTCAGAGGATTTGAGGTAAAAGCGCTCCTTCTTAGTTTTTGTGGGATCAAATGTTATCTTCCATTTGGCTGGAGGAAAGAGAGAGGGGGAGGGTTAGTCTAACGCAGGTGGGGAAAGGATGAAAAGCTAAAATCCCTGTTAGCAAGGGCTGGGGTGGGTACAATGGGATCCAGCTGTGGAGCTTGGGTGGGCTCTGAAGCCAGCGGAGGAGGAAGGACTCAGGATGGGCAGGTGACCTGGTCCAGGGCCCCCTTACCATTCAGGTAGATCGTGTTGAGGAGGATGAGGCGAGTGTCGGAGGGCAGGCTACTTAGAATCTGGCCAATCTTTTGGTTAGTCTTCTCTGCCACCCAGGTGTTGATGAGCTTCAGGTTTTCATTGCTGTCATTTCCCAGGACTCTGGGGCTGCTGCCATATAACCTCTGAGAGGCATGCACAAAGGCATCCCTTATGGCCAGGTCTGGGGGGTGGAGGGTGGGCAGGTAAAAAAAGGAGGCAAGAGTCCCCTGAACACCCTCTCCCCTTCGCTCTTTGTGCTCACTCAGCGTAGCATGTCGGAGTAGGGGGCCAGCCCACTCTTCTTACAATGAGGCCCAAAGCCAGCAAACCCTGAACTTGGAGCAGAACTCATTCTAAGGCTTTGCTGCTTCTGCTTGCCATGTGACCATGGCTCGGCAAGATAACTCTTTGAGATCTGAACTTCTGTTAGCCTGTCGTTTTCCTTCTCGTTCCTTAATTCAAGGGGGAGCAGAGTCCGCTTTCTGGTCTCGGGGAAAGTTTGTAACAAGACTTCCTGGCTTTTGCTCTCCAAAGCCCATGTCCGCTAAGGAAAATAGTGTTTGAAAGAGAAACAAACATTTCCTGGACTAAACAACTAATATTGAATACAGTTGTATTTTCCACCAACCTAGCAAGACAGAGGATAAAGCTGATTTATAGCAAGAAAGTAAATGCAACATTACTTGAACACCTCTGAGCCATATTTTCCCATCTCTAAAAAGAGGGTTTTAGTGGTAAACACACAATAGAATATACAGATGTCAAATTATAATGTACACCTGAAAATTATATAATTGTATTAAGCAATGTTACCCCAATAAACTTAATTTAAAAAAAGAGGATTTTTTTTTAGACACGGTAGGATTAGGTGAGTTTTCTTTCTTGCTTTCTCTTTGCTTTTCTATATTTTTCTCAGTTTCTACAAAGAATGAGTATTACTTCTATAAGTCAAACAAAGGACAGAAAAAAATTCTCCTTTATTTAAAGAGGGGGTCAGACGAGATCTATAGTTTTCAAATCTTATTAAATAGCAGAACTGTGTTTGCAAATAAAGTCATATCTGAAGCCCACAATATAAAAGGGCTCTGGTTGAGGCTGGTATGAATTCCGAGCCCATGTGGCTCCATCTCCCGCTCACAGGAAGTGGTACCCCACCTTACTCAACCACCCTGATCCCCCAACTCCCATCATGACTCCCAAAGCAGCTCTGCCGAACCCTAGGGCTCTGGGGAACAAAATTTGAAACCAATTATATTAGATCATTTTGTTCTTATTACCTACTTAATAATCTAACACATGTAAATGACAAAAAATTGATATAATACAAAAAAAGCACAAAGACTAGGAACCCCAAGATTCCCCTGACTCATGTTAGCTAACATCTGTTTGTTTGTTTGTTTGTTTGCTTCTATAAGCTATCTAGCCCTATCTGTTCAGGAACTCTTATTCTAAACAGAGTTGATGAATGCAAATGATTTGCCCCAACTCTCCCCAGGGGAACTACCCAGCTCCTGGAGCCACTCCATAAGTCTGCTGAGGCCCTCACTTGCTCTGCAGTCCATCTGCGATGTTCCAGCTCTAACATTCTCTCTGTCCTCTTTCCTCAATGCTGGGTCCCCTTCAGAATCCCCTCAGGACCCTGCTCAGCAGCTGCCACCCTTCCCCGGGCACTCACCTGGGCTGTGGAAGATCTGAGAGGCTGAGGTGAAGCCTTTGGATGTGAAGGCCTGCAAGGCCTGGTGGACGCAGGCAAAGTCCGTCGGGTAGGAGAGGGTGGTCTCCAGGTTTGTCTTGGTGCTGTTCCCAGCCCCTAAACAAAGAGTAGAGATGAGGGCCACCTGCAGGAGGTGTGGGGGCCCACCATTCAAAACCACTTTTGAGGGACCGAGCTGGAATGGGGGGTTGTCGCCTGCTATGGAAGGGATGACACATCACCACAGCTGAAAGCATGGTTTCGCAAGACAATGCGTATGTCAGAAAGAGAGGGGTGGGGAATTATAAATAATCAGTTAAGCTTTTCTAGAGCTTTGAATATTCTCCTCCCATTTTTCTACCTAAGTTTTATTCCACTCATCATTCAAAGCCTGGTCAATCACTGCCTGTTCGACATAGTATTATTTAGTTGGTTTGAGTTTACGAAATGTTCATCCTATAGGCAGAAACACTAGATCACTATTAAGAGGAGACATCAGACAGAGCATCATAAATGAGGATGGATGTTCAATACTTCAGTTATTCATTATTAAATACTTATTGTACACATCTTTGTGCAGCAATAGATAAAATTTATTGAGTACTTACTTGGTTCCAGGCATTAAAGTGTTTCTCTCCTATTATGTCATTGAATCACAATAATCTTTCTCCATAAGGACAATTACTATCCCCACTGTGCAGATGAGAAACAGGTTTTAAGCGATTAAGTAGCCTACTCATTGAAGATCACATAGTTAATTAGTGGAGGATGGAGACAGGATTCAATCGGCATCTTCTGGGCAATAAGGAAATTAACCGAAACCAACCAACTGAAATGTGCCCCCCCCAGGGGACATTTGGAAATGTCTGAAGACACTTTGGTTGTCATAACTTGGGAGGTATGGCGGGGCAGGGGGGTGCTACCAGGATGTAGTGGGTAGAGGCTAAGGATATTAGGATTCCAGGACTCCAGAGGGAAGGCTCTCATAGTATCTCTAGTAGCCTTCCTGGAATTTCTCCCTTGGAGTGATGGCTCTGTCTCCACTGCTTGTAGCAATTTGTTTGTGCCTATTCTAGGGTAATTACCCCTTGGGACTTGACATTGATCCCTCAGGAAGTCATAGGAAGTAACATTTTTGACCTCCCACCAAGCCAGGCATTGGGCTACTATCTGCTTCATTTTCTTAGGTAAATACAACCGGCTCCATTTTACACGTGAAGCCTCAGGCTCAGAGAAGTTAAGTGACCTGCCCGAGGTCACACAGCAAGGAAGCAACATTATCACAAGGCTTCTCTTTGGTTTCGTCTCTTTTATCACCTTACCTTGAACCATGGTTGGTTCTTGTTTTATATGGCACCTTGTTTTATATGTTCTTGTCTAGTCCGTAGGGTTTTATAAGCAATAGTACCTATTAAATCATCATTAAATGAATGTTCAAGAATAGAAAGATTATGCATCCCCCCCGCCCCCAAAATAATGTGGCCCATTTTCACAGCTTCCTCACTGAAGTACAGCTGTGTAGGTGTCTGAGCTGGGGACCCTCACAGGAGGGCCCAACACACAACCTGGAGAGAACTTGGTCAGGTTCTTACCAAGCAGGATCTGCGTGAGCAGGCTGGCGAGGCTGAAAGGGGAGAAGGCCATGTTGGCCTCGACCTTCTTCACTGCCGAGAAGGCATGGTAGAGCTTCACTGAGAAATCTACCAAAGCCTCCCCCAACAAGGTCTCTGCTGAACGACTCTCTGACTCAGAGCAGAAAGTGACAGGCTCCGGGCACGGGGGCCCAGTAGTGGGTGCGGTGGTTGGCTGGATAGGTTGCGTGGTGGTTTTGGCTCTTAGGATGGTTGAGTTGGTTGTCGGCATGGCGGAAGAGCCCACAGTGTTTTGAGTGAGTAGATTCTCGGAGATCTCTTTCTCTGAGATGTTTTCTTTGATTTCCCCTGGCAGGGTCTTTGGGTCTGTGATGTTGTGGCTGGTGCCATCCTCGGAGATCTCTTTCTCTGAGATGTTTTCTTTGATTTCTCCTGGCAGGGTTTTTGGGTCTGTGATGTTGTGGCTGGTGCCATTCTTGGAGATCTCTTTCTCTGAGATGTTTTCTTTGATTTCCTCTGGCAGGGTCTTTGGGTCTGTGATGTTGCGGCTGGCGCCATTCAGACTTGAGGAGACTCTATCCTGCAGTTCAAGAAACTCATTCTTATTTCTCTACAAGGCACAGTCCCCTCAAACACTCAAAGCAAGAGAAGGTAGGATGTGGGCAATTTCCTGTACCTGAGAAATACTTCCTGAAAAAGCCTGGTGGGTTAGGCACCTGCCCTGGAGCCACCACCACTAATTCCTTCAGGACGGGGGTGGGGGGGGTTGCTTCTTAATTGCAGCTAGCAAATTATTACTGGAAAAGCATTCCAGGGGTGCGGTGGGTGGGGGCCGGGATGTTCTCCGCAGAAGATGAAGACCAGGCAGGGCCTCTGATAGTGCTGAGCAATTACTGCTATATAGGAATTAGTTTCCCAAATTTTGGAGCTGAGAGTCCACGGCCATTTACCTATGTTCCTGCATTCACCTGCCTAGTCAGTCCAGTCATTTGAACTTGTGGTCTTTGCCTTACAACAGTGGTTTTTCAGATTGTGGGTTGCAACCATTAGTGGGTATTGAAAATAATTAGCATTCCAGAAAGAAGGAAGGAAGGAAGGAAGGAAGGAAGGAAGGAAGGAAGAAGGAAGAAGGAGGGAGGGAAGAGGGGATGGGAAGAGAGGAGGGGGGAAGGAAGAAATAGTATAGATCAGCGGCTTTTAATCAGAGACAATTTTGGCCCTCAAAGGACATGTGGCAATATCTGTAGGCATTTTTGGTTGTCATAAGGGAGGTATGGGGGGAGGGCGGAGATGCTATTGGCATCTGGCAGGGAGAGACTTGGGATACTGCAAAACATCCTACGATGCACAGGACAGGCCCTCATAACGAGGAATTATCCAGCCCCAAATGTTGGCAGTTCCGGGCTGAGAAACCATGTATTAATCCCATTTTGCTGATCAAAGAAACTGATGCTGAGACATAAGTAAGTGGCCCAAGGTCTCCCAGAAGCCAAAGGAAAAACTAAGAGTCAAAGCTCTGTCTGATTCCAGGTCCCTGCTCATCACTTTCTAAATCTCAAAGGGCACAGACTGCCAACTTCCACACACGTGAACACACCGCCAATGCAAGCATCCACCTTCCCCTGGGCTCCGCCCTCACCCCCGACCTCCCAGACCTCTCACTGGATTAATCCCCATTCAGGCCCAGGTGTGTCTGCGGCCACTTCTCCTGGGGTTTTCACGTGCTCCAGCTCCTCAGGAGAGTCTGCGTTTCAGAGCAGGCAAACCCCTACCCCCCGCAGCTCAGCCTCCACAACCACCGCTCGCTTTTATATCACAAAATACTGGCCATCTCCTTTATTCTCCGCTTTGTAAATCAGCCCAGGTAGGCTCGGAGAAGTGACTTGCTCAAGGCCACCACGGCTGGTGCACGGCGGGCCCGAATTCGAACCTGCGTCACTCTGAGTCTCTGCTCTTTCCACGCTTTCTACCAATGCCGCTGCAAGGATCACACTGGCTGATCCCAAGAGGAGCTCTCCTCACTCTCCAGAGCCTGACGGGTTAATCCTCAGCCTCCCGTCCCCATCCCAGGAAGGGGCCACTCACCCCAGCCAGCAGCAGCAGCAGGAGGGTCAGCGAGGTCAGCCTGGAGGCCATCTGGGCGGCGACGTCAGCCCGGACCTGCGGAGCCAGTCGGCGTCAGGGCCTGCTCTGAGCCCCGGGGCCCAAAGCCCCCACCCTGGGGCCCGCCCCCATTCCATTCCAGGCTTTAGCCCCTCTCTGCGAAGGCCCTCCTCCCCGGCTCCGGGCCACCTCCTCCCCGGCTCCAGGCCACCTCCTCCCCGGCTCCTCCCTCTGTTTTGTTTTCCCCCAAATGCTCCTCTTTCCCGGCACCCGCTGGCCCAGCCTTTCCCGGGACCCTGGCCCTGGTGTCCGTCCATCTGTTCCATTCCGGGGGTTCTGCTCTAGCCAAACAATGAGGCCAGAGGCTTGGGGAGGAGGGGAGGTCCAGAGGGGCCTGGGCACGACAGCCCCAGGAGGGGAGAGGAGAGGTGGAGAGAAGAGGGGGGAGGGGAGGGGTGGGGGGCAGGCAGAAGT